CTGGTCAACCGATCTCTCAATGCAATTGATCAAATTTTTGACGAGAAGTCTGGGTACAGGAGAGCCCTCTTGTCCTGCAGGGACACACCCAGTGGGATTCACCCTGGATTTATTCATAATGACAGGATTTCTGCTGTTTGGAGCTTGTGGATTCCTGGATTATCGACAAATTTGTGACGGACTTGGCTGAACTAGCAAACACTCAGACTGTTGGTGTGGACAGAGACGAGGACTGAGATGTATTGGAGAGACTTTAGGGAAGATTGAAATGTATAAACTTCCCGACCTAAGACATTCTGTTTATGAATTGGCTTTCCCCGTGTGGCCTTGGAAGGGCTGCATATCTCTGATCTCCTTGAAGATATGTAAACACAACGCTCTTCCCTCCTCACCCCCTCCTGTCTCCATGGAGCCTTGGAGCTGAACGCTCCTAAGGACATCATTCCTTGATAACAAACACCTCTGTCAGACTATGCCAGGGACCACAGCCACCTGGCTTCTTGGCCTTTTGATGTCACTGCCTTCACTCATGTCTTTGTTTTGCTCCTTTGTTTTGTCTGAATGTTGCCATTTGCCCTAATGTGTCCTTTCCTCTTTTCCTTTGGTTTGCTATTTTGTTTGCATTTCCTTTTAATTCATGTAAAGCACTATGAATTGCTTTGTTGCTGAAAATGTGCTATATAAATAAAATTACCTTACCATCAGTCAATATTGATAATTATTGATTAGTTCTTTGTTTTAATTATCTGAAATACTGCCAAACTAGTGGTGTGAACTTGTCTTTTATCCAGAATTTTCACTCCACGCCATTGTTGTTTATTTTAAAGTAGCTACAAGGCATGGTGGCGAAACCTTAAATTGCTGTGCAAGTTACTCAACAGGTTGTTTCTAGGTAACCAAAGAGTCAGTGTGTTAGTTAGTTGATGGCACTCAAGTCCATGAGAGAATCAGTGGCTAAAGTCTTTCCTCTGCCTACATGATTTATTGTCCAGTCCTACTTTCAGCTTAGAACCATTGTAATTTTAAAGCTGAATATCATTTGAGAAATTTTCCTACCACCTTTAACACCCTAAAACCAAAGGAGGACTTTATTTTACCATGACTATTGGTTATTTTTAACTGTATGACAGTATGACAGAAGGGGAAAATGTCAGCAATGTGGTGGGTAATAGCCACATTCCTGAAACCAATTCAGTCATAGGGTCCAACAAAGTAATGATATTGTCATGGTCATTGTAATGGAACATTTTATAATGTGCTCCTCACCCCTCTTGTGCTTTAGGTATTTCTGCATGATCTCATCATGAGATTGGTCAAGCTGCTCTCAAGACTTCTGCAGTGTCATATAACAGCAGGGGAGAGCTCCTTAATCCTGGAGACTATCTAAGGTTTACTTTCCCAACATATAACTTATCTGCTCTCTTTAGCATCAGAGAACATCCTCCTTTCCTTAACAATAGACAAATGACCAGACCATCTGTGTTGGGTTCCACAGAATCCCTGGTACATCACTTTCAGGGATTCACACCTCTCGTCCAATCAAGTCTCTCTTCTCTAACCAAAACCTATAAAAGGAAGCCAGATCCACTATTGGTCAAAACAGACTTGACAGACTCCTTTGACTCTATCTTTCTGTTCTCACCTTGCAAGGTTTTAATAAATTTATTATTTTCTTCTCATCCAGACTTTTGTTAAAGTAATTTTTTCCACGACAGTCATTTGTGAGACTACATTAGCGTTGGTTATTTTTCATTGTTACAGTTGCAGGAGAATGTCACTGTAAAGATTAATCATTTTTTCTAGCATAGCATTTAAAGCAGAGATTTTGGTCTGAATATTTTGGCACATGTTACGTGAATCCATTTAAAGATGAGAAGCAGACAAATATTTTCACAATGTCAGATTATTATTTTTTAATTTTTTAGATAAAATAAGTATATGTAATGAGTCAAACAGAAGGCTTTGGCCACCTCAATGACCTGTAAACAGGTTCTTATATAAATAGTTCTATACTCACTAACCTTCAGTGCTCTTCTAGTGCCCATCCTGGGGTCAAGACCCAGAGCCCCGTAGTAGAAAGGCTCACAGACGTCACCTAAGAGATCCTGCAGCAGGCGGGATACCTGAAGCACAGTCACAAACTTTGCTTTGACATGTGTTATAAGTTTGCCTCCCTTATTTGTTTACATATAATGTGATTATTTAAGTGGTCCTTAGCATAACATGCAAAGCATACTGAAAGAAATCAAATATGTTAAATCAAGTAT